TGAAAAGGCCCTTTGGGTATGAAATTGATCTGAATCGGTGTATTTGTGGACGATGATTCCGAATCACCCCCCATGACGTAGGGTAAAAATACTTCCCTGGAGAGTAATGGGCAAAAAACCGTTTTGGACACGTGACAGGCTAGTAAAACATGAATTCGATTGTTTAGGGCTCGGGTTAGGGTTAGGGTTGTGGTAAGGGTTATGGATAGCTAATAGCTTCTGGGTTATGGTTAGGGTTAGGGTTGGGATTAGGGTTTATGTAAAACCGTTTTGTACGGCTGCAAAACCATAAAAACCAAAGTCACGTGAAATTTTTCCTACATCAAGGGTTTCCAGTTGTCCCAGTTTTCGATTCTTCACTAGTATATTAAAACCGATTAAAGGGTGTTTCCTAGTGGCGAATACTATCCGTACATCCCCACATAACCTCTTTATGTCCGAATTAAGTTCTTTAACCAACTTTTTAGGACCAATGCTATCAAGAGAGTGTTGTACGGAGAATACGAGGCTCTGTTGTGTCTTATCCTCGGTGACTCTGGTTGGATAACTTGTTTGCCTAATAGACTATAATAACAAATAAGATTCCCACGACTACTTCTGTGATGATCGATGCTATAGCCCATTTCTTAGCCGCCTGGGAAAGTGATTTATGAGACAGAGAAGGTTTGCGCACCAATCGTTCTACAGTAAAATACGTTTGTGTACATGGAAAGCAATAATTCATCTTAGCAGAAGGAACTGAATTAAGATTCAAATGTCAAATAGGTAAGTGAGCACCTGTCCATTTCTTTTCCCCCCTTCCAAATCATTTCGTCCATAACACGCGTTTGCCTCGTTAGCTTTCATCACAGCAGCAATTCCACACGGGAATCCACAGAAGCACAGAATACACGATATCCAGGCTAAGCCGGAGTTTGATTGTGGTTTGTTTCCTTGTTGTACCTAGGTTATTTTACGGTTAAGTTAGAAAATAAGATATTATTTAGTTCATTGTAGTTTCTGCAGCAGCAGAAACTAAACATATAAAACACACTCAAACAGTTATTATATCACGTGATCACAACGAACAAGAAGCTCATATTACACGGTTACACGAAGGTCGCACTTTCTTGAGGGATTAGCAACAGTAGGTATAGGGTATAGACTCGTATAGAATTAGAGTTACTTTGGGATACTGGCCAAGTAATATCTTTAGCGAGTGATTCCTCGCTTTTACTCTTTTAAGGCACCAAGAGGTAGGAAATAACAAGTAAAAATAATGTGTGAATTTTCTCGTTACTGTTAGGGTTAGGGTTAGAGCATAATATGCTTCAGTTAGGGATCGGGTTAGGGTTCGGGTTCAGGTCAGTGTAGACTGTACACTGTAGATGCCAGGGTTAGGGTTTCGAATAGTCCTTCAGGGCCACCTAGAGAACGTATTAAAAAGTCACGTGACAGTCGAGTGTAGAGTGGTTAATAATCATCCAACTTTTACAGTTCAGTTACAGACCATAAATAGTTCGGTAATCATTATGAATCTATCAAGAAATCATCAACGTATGTACATTGTACACCGCCTATAGTTGTACTGTGTACAACGTATGACAACAGTTATGTACAAATGGAGTGCCTTTGTGCTACTGCAATTGTAACATTATTATGCATGTAATTTTCACTATCTAACTTATTGATATTCAGCGTTTAAAACATGTTAATGTTAAAACAGGGAAAATAAAAAGAAAACTTTCCAAAAATATATATTTACCACAACAACTTGTGGTTGAGCTTGAGCCTGAGGATATTGTTGAAGAGATAACCGGGCTGACCTGGAGCTCGGGGGAACGCCTGAGGAAATTGAACTTTAATATTTTAATACTTTAAAAAAAACTATTCAAATATTTAATATTTAAAATTTAAAGACTATTTTAATATTATGAAACAATTAGTTCAAATTCAATCGAATTTTTAACAAATTGGTATCTTGATATCATATTATGATTAGCGTAGCGGTGTAAGACACTTTTAATTTCATGACCATTGTGAAGATAAACCAACATTGGTAGGAATTGATATAATTTAATCTAAAAGCTTAAAATCTAAGCTTAACATTTTATAAGGATTGAAATAAGTAATAACTTATTCGACCAAAACCCAGAATTGGGTAAAGAGGACCGCTGCCAGTGTTTTTTTTTTCCAAACAAAAGCAAATGATATTAATTTGAATGACCGTCCGTAAATGCAAAATGATACCGAGAATAAACTAATAAGTAACAACAGAGGGGCGGTCATCGCCATAATCACCATTTTCATGCCATCAATTTTTTGTCATTTTTGATATCAGATATCGAAGGTAAAAATCAAAAGTTTTGAATTTCTGGGATGAGTGGTAAAAATGGCGATGATTATTCCAAAACTTGGAAATATAATAAAGCTAGGATCACATAAAATACCTGTTGCGGCGGATATTGCGGAGGATACGCCTGATGAAATGTTATTAGATAATTGATTACTAAGCTAATACTAAATAAATCGGATGAAAACGAATGAATGGTTGAAAACGAATGTGGCAATGAAAAAGGTAATTAAATTAGTTTATAACCTGTTGAGGAGGAGGGTAAGCAGGTTGTTCTTGAGGAGGATAATCACCCGGGGGAGGGGGTAGTCCCATTACCTCGGCGTATGGTGGTGGTGGTGCAGCCATTATTTCCTAGGCAGCTGTTATACTTATACTCGGCATGAATAAAGATTCAATAAACATCAGCTAATTGGACACTAATTACCACCTGCACCCTTATCCCGAAATACTAGGTATCGACCCGAAAGTAACCCAAAGAGATTTTTACGGATGTTGATAGCGTATGCAGGGAAGCACTCCTGTTCAAGCTGGGCAACATGGGCATAACAGGCAAATTCTTCGATTGCATCAGCCACATGTACAATAACTCTTCAACCCGAGTCAAGCTGATTCAAAAGCTATCCGCAGCCATTGACGTCACCATCGGCACAGAACAAGGACATCCAATGTCCCCCGAGCTCTTCAAACTATATATCCACGAGCTCTCTATCAGACTTGAACAAATCGAGGAATTGGATGTACCTTTATTAAACGGTGTAAAAGTAAGTCACCTCCTATGGGCAGATGACCTGGTACTCTTAGTGCTGGATGCGGGCAGCTTACAGAAACTGCTCAATTGCTTGCATGACTATGCCGAAAAGTGGGAGCTGTCTGTGAATATCAACAAAACCAGCGTGATGGTATTTAACACAAGCTCACGAATACTGAAATGTGCTTACGGCTTCAAACTAGGCAACAATTGGACATCGCACCAGTCAGAAAATACTGCTATCTAGGAATCCAATTCTCCCTGAACGGTTCCTTCAAGCAAGCAATCGATGAACTTAGGAAGAAAGCTCTTCGCTCATTCTTCTCTCTGAGACGAACTATTGACACGAGAGCCCTCACCACTAGCACGATGCTAAAACTCATTGATAGCTTAGTCAAGCCAGTGCAGTGGCCACATCTGGATGCCCTATTTGGCTGCCATCAACCAACATCGTGAAAGCCATCCTCTCGAAAAATCAAGAAGCGAGTCTTCCCAAAGCAGCAGCAAAAGATGCTCTTGAAACTACTCCCTTGAAAATTCTTAAATGGATATTGGGTGTCGACAAAAAGGCAAATAACAACTTCTGCTACGGAGATACAGGTAGAACCCCCTGGACAGTAACCGTCCTCCCTCAATGTATTGCCTACTTCTGTAGAGCATCACAAGCGGTAGTAGGTAACGTGAACACCCTCTTGCACCATACATTTCAGGAACAGAAACAATTGAACCTTACCTGGTATGATGCATGGTCTACTATCATCAAGACGAGCACTGTCGCTAAGCCACACCTACCCTACACCCTTGCGGCTCGTGAACACATACACGAAACATTTGTTAACCACTGGAAGAAGGATCTTCACAACCAGCCTAAAATGTCATTCTACACTGCGGTCAAAGCTGAGTTTGGTGAAGAACTGTACTTACAGCTCCCATGCAGGGTCAAAAGAGCTAACATCGCGAAACTTCGATCTAGCAGTCACGATCTGAGGATTGAGAAAGGTCGATACACTGGAGATCGCTACAACACAGCACTGAAAACATGTCGCTTTTGCTGCTCCTCAGACACCGACGTCATGCGGTTCTTCGAAGAACTACCATTCTTTGAAACACCAATCTTTGAAACCGAGGACCACGTCATAAATGAATGCCCCAGCTACAACTCCCTCCGCGTCCGGTCCAACCTCTCAGACAACCTTAAAAGCCTCATAATGCTCAAAGAATATGGGGCCATCATGAACTCATTCCATGCAACTGAATTTGGAAAGTACCTCACAGAATCCTTTCACCTTCGACATCCTCCTGAAAAGAAGTCCTAGTAATCACCTCCCGTCTCCTACTCATAGTCATTAACTCATCTCCATGACTTTTTTACTCGTATTTAAATTATTATATTCGATTTTTCTTTCGTGAAATTGTAAAGCGGTTAATTTTTAAGAATTTATTTTTATAGCATTCTCTCAATTTTTAGAGTTCTGGTCGTCTTTATGAATTGCTGTATTACCAAGACGAGTTCGTTAGGGTTCTCCTTGGTCATTTCATGTTTAATTCCTGTTTAATTCCTGTTTAATTCCATCATCATTGCAAAAATAAAACCCAGTCCATGGGACTGAAAAAATTAGTTGACTTTCGATTCGAAAGAGTTAAATTCTAAATCATAAACAGGAATCATAATTCGTAAGTTTTGTTTGAGGTATTCCACTCTACCCATGATTATGGGTTTTGGTCAAATATATGATATAGAATTGTAATTATAGGACTTAAAAAGACAGTTGATGGAAATTTAGCGTCCGCTTATGGCCTTAACGCCAACGGGCGCAATTCTTGTTAGGTGTCATAATTGACTCAAAACTTAGTTGGAGCCAGCACATTAAACAGTTAAAGACTAACATATTTAGAAATGCTGGCGTAATGATGAAACTTAAAAGTTCCATTCCGAATAAAGCTCAAAAAATGCTATACATATAATTACAATAGCTTGATTCAATCTCACCTGTATTATTGCGCTACTGTTTGGGGTATTAAATCTTTAAATTCCATTCAGTCTTTATTCTCTGCTCAAAAGAAAGCTATTCGCGCTACTAATTCAGAATATCATAACTATTTTCACGACAAAGAAAAACGTAAACTGCCATCTCACACAAAATCTATCTTTAAAAAATAGGACCTCATTGCTAAAAGCTTTCTACTAACTTTGATGCACAAGGTTTATATAGGAGTAGCACCATCAAGTATCTGTAGTATATTTTTCAAGTATCTGTAGTATATTTTTCAAGTATCTGTAGTTTATTTTTCAACTTTCACTGCCACACTTAGGCTTATCTTACCTACACATTTTTTAAACGAAATTCCTTGCGCACCGCGTAATAAAAATACTTGGATTTCTACCACTTTGATAGTATGAGAATATTTTTATTATGATTTTTTATTAAATAAACATGACAAGAGTTTAGTGGGGAGATAATATACATGATATAGTTGATTTATATAATTATAATATAGATTATTTATTCTTTAGTGTAGATTAATTTTATTTTTATATTTACTAAGTGTTAAGGATCAACCATAAGTTATTGATATTGTTGAATTATTTAATGATAAATTGATATTATAAATGTTTGTAATATCCTATTGAGGCACATACCACCCCATCGCGGGTTTACTACTACTTACTACTACTAATTACTACCATTAGTCCCAATCACTACCCTTAGTACCAATACTAGAAAAAAGATGACGATTCCCACGACTACTTCTGTGATGATCGTTCCTATAGCCCATTTCTTAGCCGCCTGGGAAATTGATTTATGAGACAGAGAAAGTTTGCGCACCAATCGTTCTACAGTAAAATACGTTTGTTTACATGGAAAGCAATAATTCATCGTAGCAGAAGGAACTAAATTAAGGTTCAAATGTCAAATAGGTATAGGTAAGTGAGCACCTCTCCAGCTATTTTTCCTCCTTCGAAATCTCCTCGTTCATTACACTCTTCTGCCTTTGTAGCTTTCACCACAGCAACAATTCCAATGCACCAACAGGGTAATATAAGCCAAAACGATATCCAGGCTAAAACTAGGTTTGTTTGTGGTGGTTGGTTTCTTTTTTGTCCCTTTTTTGTCCCTCTTTTTGTCCCTCTTTTTGTCCCTCTTTTTTGTCCCTAGGTTATGTTACGGTTAAGTTAGAAAATAGGATATTATTTAGTTTATTGTAGTTTCTGCAGCAGCAGAAACTAAACATATGAAACACACTCAAACAGTTATTATATCACGTGATCACAACGAACAAGAAGCTCATATTACACGGTTACACGAAGGTCGTACTTTCTTGAGGGATTAGCAACAGTAGGTATAGACTCGTATAGAATTAGAGTTACTTTGGGATACTGGCCAGGTAATATCTTTAGCGAGTGATTCCTCGCTTTTACTCTTTTAAGGCACCAAGAGGTAGGAAATAACAAGTAAAAATAATGTGTAGATTTTCTCGTTACTGTTAGGGTTAGGGTTTTAGCATATGCTTCAGTTAGGGATTGGGTTAGGGTTAGGGTTCGGGTCAGTGTAGACTGTACACTGTAGAGGCCAGGGTTAGGGTTTCGAATAGTCCTTCAGGGCCACCTAGAGAACGTATTAAAAAGTCACGTGACAGTCGAGTGTAGAGTGGTTAATAATCATCCAACTTTTACAGTTCAGTTACAGACCATAAATAGTTCGGTAATTATTAGGAATCTATCAGGATATAAGTAACGTATGTACATTGTACATTGTACACCGCCTATAGTTGTACTGTGTACAATGTATGACAACAGTTATGTACAAATGGAGTGCCTTTGTGCTACTGCAATTGTAACAATATTATGCATGTAATTTTCACTATCTAACTTATATATATATTATTGATATTCAGCGTTTAAAACATGTTAAAACAGGGTAAATAAAAAGAAAACTTTCCAAAAATATATATTTACCACAGCAACTTGTGGTTGAGCTTGAGCCTGAGGATATTGTTGAAGAGGATAACCGGGCTGACCTGTAGCTGGAGGGAACGCCTGAGGAAATTGAACTTTAATATTTTAATACTTTTAAAAAACTATTCAAATATTCAATATTTAAAATTTTAAGACTATTTTAATATTATGAATAGAAACAATAAGTTTAAATTCAATCGAATTTTTAACAAATTGGTATCTTGATACCATATTATGATTAGCGTAGCGGTATAAGACACTTCTAATTTCATGACCATTGTAAAGATAAACCAACATTGGTAGGAATTGATATAAGAGAGCGAAATGATAGGAAACGTTTTAGAGAATAGTTTGGTATCCGTGCAGAGTTACATTAGCCATTTTCAAAGTCCGTCGCAGAAAAACCTGTTCTTAACACCTTTTAGGTTAAAAATATCTAATATTCGCTAATTGGTGAATATTAGATCTGATCTTTTTAATCTAAAAGCTTAAAATCTGCAATTGTAACAATATTATGTAATTTTCACTATCTAACTTATTGCTTTATTGATATTAAGCGTTTAAAACATGTTAAACTTAAAACAGGGGAAATAAAAAGAAAACTTTCCAAAAATATATATTTACCACAACTGCAGCATGTGGTTGAACTTGAGCCTGAGGATATTGTTGAAGAGGATAACCGGGCTGACCTGGAGCTGGAGGGAACGCCTGAGGAAATTGAACTTTAATAATTTAATACTTTTAAAAAACTATTCAAATATTTAATATTTTAAATTTTAAGACTATTTCAATATTATGAAACAATTAGTTCAAATTCAAGCGAATTTTTAACAAATTAGTATCTTGATACCATAATATAAATATAATTAGCGTAGCGGTATAATACACTTCTAATTTCATGACCATTGTGAAGATAAACCAACATTGGTAGGAATTGATATAAGAGAGCGAAATGATAGGAAACGTTTTAGAGAATAGTTTGGTATCCGTACAGACTTACATTTGCCATTTTCAAAGTCCGTCGCAGAAAAACCTGTTCTTAACACCTTTTAGATTGAAAGGATCTAATATTCGCTAATTGGTGAATATTAGATCTAATCTTTTTAATCTAAAAGCTTAAAATCTAAGCTTAACATTTTATAAGGATTGAAATAAGTAATAACTTATTCGACCAAAACCCAGAATTGGGTATGTAGAGAGGACCGCTCCCAGTGTTTTTTTCCCAAACAAAAGTAAATGATATTAATTTGGATGACCGTCCGTAAATGCAAAATGATACCGAGAATAAACTAATAAGTAACAACAGAGGGGCGATCATCGCCATAATCACCATTTTCATGCCATCCATTTTTTGACATTTTTGATATCGATGGTAAAAATCAAAAGTTTTGAATTTCTGGGATGAGTGGTAAAAATGGCGATGATTATTCCAAAACTTGGAAATATAATAAAGCTAGGATCACATAAAATACCTGTTGCAGCGGATATTGCGGTATTATTAAGCTAATACTAAATAAATCGGATGAAAACGAATGAATGTTTGAAAACGAATGTGGCAATGAAAAAAGTAATTAAATTAGTTTATAACCTGTTGAGGAGGAGGGTAAGCAGATTGTTCTTGAGGAGGATAATCACCCTGGGGAGGGGGTGGTCCCTGGGGAGGGTAAGCAGTTTGTTCTTGAGGAGGATAATCACCCTGGGGAGGGGTTGGTCCCATTATCTCAGCGTATGGTGGTGGTGCATCCATTATTTCCTAGATTTGCAAATATACGGTCATTATATTAACTAGCAGGAACCCGTCTTACTCTAAAGTGGTGTCAAGACTCAAAAGACTATTAAATCAAATAAATAAATATCAAAAACTTCATTGTAATTTCTCCCAATATCTCTTGTCATAAGCTAAATTACGGAGATAATGCAGATCAAATATATTATTCATATAAAGATTTCTTTTACATAAATCATGCACAATGAGCAAGAATAGATTGCTTTGGGGTCTTCCTCTTCTCCCTGTGCCCTGGTAAGTCCAGTGTATTGACGGCAAAAATGAGGGAAGAAAACGCTGGTCCGTCAACAGGACCCCGCAAAACATGTCCTAACATTCTCCACCGACTACGGGCCACTTTTTCTGACAATGTTTCAGCATTGCAGCGTTTATACAAGTTTTTGTTGAAGATGACTTCTGGGTACTTTATATTCAAAATAGTGTGAAGATGTCTGCGGTGAACAACATCTAGTTTTTCAAGGAATATTTTGGGGACGGCCCAACAGGATGAGTTGTACATAAGAACCGATACGACTAAAGCATTGTACAGTTTTAAACGTTTGTTTAGAGGCAGTTTATCACTCCAGGCCTTCTTGTAATTGTTGAAAGCAGCATATCCCAGGTTTATGCGACGCTGAATATCAGCTTTGCTACAGAAGACGGACCCTAGACTTAGAGTGATACTTTCCCTCCATGCTTCATTCCCCGACAATAATTTTCCATCACTGTCGACTTCACCCGTACTAGCTAAATAAACATCCGTTTTGTGTTCATTGACAAAGAGGTTCCATTTCTCGAGTATAGCTGTTGCCTGGGGCAAAATAGCTCTCAAGTTGTCTTCCTCTTCATCATTGAAGTCGACATCATCAGCATATTCAGTGTCAAGTGGAAGGGCAGCAATAGTAATCGGGGGAATCAGCCTATCTAAACTGATTGTTATAGTCCATCTAAGTTCATTCAAAGCACCAGCTAAGACAAGGGTGAACAGACAGCCGGATAAACAGTCTCCTCGGAAAGCTCCGAGGAGACTTAAAAACTCAGCTGAAAGAACTCCATTTACCTTCACCCGTAGCTTTATGTTGGACAAGTAGACAATAGAACTCGCTGACACCAAACAATATCAGCACAAGAACGAGCGCGTTTATATGCGACTAATTTATAATTATTACCTATTTAATTCGTGTTTTTTACACCACTTGGGGGTCCAAATTTTGGGCACTAAAATTCTTATTCCTTGGCCTATTTTTATTTTTTCATGCTGATTTGAAAAGCATAAAAGCATTTGACTTCAGTTGTATATCTTTTACGGTTTTTGCGGAAAGTCGCGTTAAAGTTGATGCCATGGTGTCAGTTAAATGGCACGGATAATTGATAAACACATATGCATGATGTAATTAATCGAAACTTATTAAAATTCGTAAGCCGTGAATGAATGGGAAATACGAGCGACCAATTTCATTTTCGGTATCATTTTTCATTTGTGGACGGTAATTGGCGGCAAGAGATTATTTGTAATCTCAGGGAATAGTGATCGTGAATCTATAACCTCTCCTATTCCAATGACCATAGTGCGTGATGAAGAATCACATCCTTTTCGAGTTGCTGCTATTAAGTGTGTTAATCTGTCCTGGGTGACTCCAGTATAACTATAAACAGATGAAGACGTGCAACAAAACACTACGGATCTAGACAGGCAAAGGTCGATAAAAAACCGGGTGCGAGATGCTGGCAACTTCTTCTCTCTAAAAGTTTGCTACTGAAACATTACACACAAATCAAAGACGGTGTGCTTCTACCTCTGCGAGGTCGGGTGAGACCAGGATGACGGCAACTGGGCAAAGCCTCAGGGACCCCAAAAAATGACTGAGTTATGAGCTAAAAACTATATGCCCATATTTGGGCATAAGCACCAAATTTGATCGATTTTGGCCCATAAAATTTGGTCAAATATCAATATTTTTGCATGAAACCAACTTTATATAAATGGTTAGCCTAAACTACACATTCTCTACGATTATCAGCTCAATATCTATCTAATTGAGGATTCTGTGTTCAAATATTAATAATCGTACAAAAATTAACAAAATCGCCCGTATCCAGTATCTCAGTTCGCGATATTTGCGAAACTGATTTCGCTCAAAACAATAGAACTCATTAGGGTTTCAATATTTGTTCATGAAATTTTCAGAATCAACGGAGACCGTTTTGTCAAAGAACTTGTCCCCTCGAAGCAGATCTCAGCGGCCTGTTCCGTCCCTTTGCTCATATTCACATTCCTTTGTGCTGTTTGTTTCTTCTCCTCCATCTTCCCCCGTTGGTTCTTCTCCATTTTCTTCTGTTAGTTCCGGGGTGCAACCTACGTCAATCTCACTAACGTTACCTGATTTCTCCTCGAGTAACAAGTCCTCACATTTCAGGTACCTAATTCGTCCGTACTTTTCCTCAACATCAGAACATTTTCCAGCGTCTGTCATTTCCTTAACTTCAGCTGGTTCGAGTTGTCAAATACATTCACCTTAAAAGAGCTCTCCACCAAAAGCGTATCTTTTGATATCCGTCATCTTCTGAATAGATCTCCTGGACATAACTAGAGGTTCCTACTTCCTGTTTGCCTGATCTACACTGTAGTGAATATAACCAATTAAGCTTCCCAGGACTACTTGTGTGATGATCGATCCTATAGCCCATTTCAAAGCCTCCTGGGAAAGTGATTTATGAGACAGAGAAGGTTTGCGCACCAATCGTTCTACAGTAAAATACGTTTGTGTACATGGAAAGCAATAATTCATCGTAGCAGAAGGAACTAAATTAAGATTAAAATGTCAAATAGGTAAGTGAGCACCTCTCCAGCTCTTTTTCCCTCTTCGAAATCTCCTCGTTCATAACACTCTTTTGCCTCGTAAGCTTTCGACACAGCAGCAGCTCCAATCAGACAGCAGCACAGACACGATATCCAGGCTATGACGAGGTTTGTTCGTGGTTCTTGTACCTAGGTTATGTTACGGTTAAGTTAGAAAATAAGATATTATTTAGTTTATTGTAGTTTCTGCAGCAGTAGAAACTAAACATATGAAACACGCTCAAACAAATATTATATCACGTGATCACAACGAACAAGAAGCTCATACTACACGGTTAGTGTTACACGAAGGTCGCACTTTCTTGAGAGATTAGCAAGGCTGTAGGACTATTGAGCGGAGTACTGTTGAGTGTAGGACTGTATTTCGGTGAAGGTCGGAAGTAGGACTGTAGAGCGGTGTCAAATCGCCAGGGTAGGACTCTAGAGTGGCCGCCCTTATAGATCTCACAACATGAGGACTTTAGAGCGGTACGATCCTAAAATGAGGACTGTAGAGCGGTGGACTGTTGAAGTAGGACTGTAGAGCGGCCCTCCCTTATTATAGATCCCATAAAACGAGGACTCTAGAGCGGTACCCTCCTATAACAGTTATACATTGTTACTCGTGATTGATTATGGTCATGACATTCTAGGATGATAACTTTATTAAAGATTCATGGAGTTAGTGAACATTTTCATTTACTTATTATAAATATTTCATTACTAATATTATAGTGTAACTTAATTTAAGATTATTGGTCGGTCTCAACGTCTTCCAAATGATTGAAATATTCCCCTGCTGCTCAAAAATGTAATACGTGTCTTCGGTATTTTAGTGAACTGTTCGTATCAATGTGATTTCGCTAAGCAGAGTACCGATCAAGTTCGTGCAGATCATAATTTAGGAATGAGGATCGCATCGCGTGACGCTTTAGCGCCTACTAAGGATATCTCATGTTCATCAATCTGGTGACGGGACTGATTCAGATCAGATCCCATCGCAGTGCGATATCTTGTTAGGATTTCGAAGGTATGGTATAAATATCACGGAGTATCCAGTTTTCGTATATCAAATTCGATTCCTACTCCTCTTCTACAACTACCTACAATATGCAGAGTGTTAACAGTTTTATCATCCTAATATCACATGTGTTATTGATTACGAGTTTAAAAAACATAATTTTATTCAATATTCAAATTTTTTGGAAAACGTTGAGACCGACCAATAATCTTAAATAAAGATACACTATAATATTAGTAATGAAATATTTATAATGAAAATGTTCATTAACTCCATGACTCTTTAATAAAGTTATTATCCTAGAATGTCATGACCATAATCAATCACAAGTTACAATGTATAACTTAGCTTCGTTGAGTGTTCAATCTTCAAATTTTCAACCGCTATAGAGTCCTCATGTTATAGGAGGGTACCGCTCTAGACTCTAGAGCGGTATGGGATCTATAAGGGGGGGGGGGGGGGGGGGCGCTCTACAGTCCTACTCCCGACCTTCACAGGCCTACAGTCAACCGCTCAACAGTCCACCGCTCAACAGTCCACCGCTCTACAGTCCTCATTTTAGGATCGTACCGCTCTAAAGTCCTCATGTTGTGAGATCTATTATAAGGGGCAAGGTCGGCCGCTCTAGAGTCCTACCCTGGCGATTTGACACCGCTCTACAGTCCTACTTCCGACCTTCACCGACCTCAGTCCTACGCTCAACAGTCCACCGCTCAATACTCAATAGTCCTGCTCCCGATTCCTCGCTTTAAGGCACAAAGAGGTAGGAAATAACCAGTAAAAATAATGTGTAGATTTTCTCGTTACTGTTAGGGTTAGGGTTTTAGCATATGCTCCAGTTAGGGATTGGGTTAGAGTTAGGGTTCGGGTCAGTGTAGACTGTACACTGTAGGGTTAGGGTTTCGAATAGTCCTTCAGGGCCAACTAGAGAACGTATTAAAAAGTCACGTGACAGTCGAGTGTAAAGTGGTTAATTATCATCCAACTTTTACAGTTCAGTTACAGACCATAAATAGCTCGGTAATTATTATGAATATATCAGTAGATCAGTAACGTATGTACACTGTACACCGCCTATAGTTGTACTGTGTACAACGTATGACAACAGTATGTACAAATCGAGTGCCTTTGTGCTACTGCAATTGTAACAATATTATGCATGTAATTTTCACTATCTAACTTATTGATATTCAGCGTTTAAAACATGTTAAAAATAAAACAGGGGAAATAAAAAGAAAACTTTTCAAAAATATATATTTACCACAACATTATGTTGTTGAGCTTGAGCCTGAGGATATTGTTGAAGGATTGAAATAAGTAATAACTTATTCGACCAAAACCCAGAATTGGGTAAAGAGGACCGCTGCCAGTGTTTTTTCCCAAACAAAAGTAAATGATATTAATTTGAATGACCGTCTGTAAATGCAAAATGATACCGAGAATAAACTAATAAGTAACAACAAAGGGGCGGTCATCGCCATAATCGCCATTTTCATGCCATCCATTTTTTGTCATTTTTGATATCGATGGTAAAAATCAAAAGTTTTGAATTTCTGGGATGAGTGGTAAAGATGGCGATGATTATTCCAAAACTTGGAAATATAATAAAGCTAGGATCACACAAATTACCTGTTGCAGCAGAAATTGCGGAGGATACGCCTGATTGTGTGAAATGTTATTAGATAATTGATTACTAAGCTAATACTAAATAAATCGGATGAAAACGAATGAATGGTTGAAAACGAATGTGGCAATGAAAAAAATAATTAAATAAGTTTATAACCTGTTGAGGGGGAGGATAATCACCCTGGGGAGGGGGTGGTCCCATTATCTCAGCGTATAGTGGTGGTGGTGGTGCATCCATTATTTCCTGGGGAAGGTCGTGTTCAGTTTCAGTTTGAACTGACCCGTTTCAAGGTCCTTTAATATGGGCCAGGGCTCGGTTTAGATTGTGCTTAGACCGTCCGTGCGTGGTGAAGAGCCACATCCTGCACGAGGTGACCCTGCTAGACCGGCATGTCATTGAAGAATCCGACTGTCTGAGTCAACCAAACACGGCGGATCTAGAGGAGCAAATACCTCGAAAAAAAAAGCCGGGTTTTGAAGACCTGCACCCATGATTGTACAGGTACTGATAAGGGTATTGGATTATAGTGTCACATCCAGGTTGCAGTGGCGCCGTGCCTGGAACATCGTCTAGCCATTATAGACAAAATCCCCCTCACTTTTATGATGACACACGATAACAGCACTAGGGTTCAAGCCCCTAACTAGTACTACTCAGTGGCAGCTAGCTCTCTTTATGACGGGCCCTCCCTAAAACCCCCGGGAGGGGTGGGTCCTGATAGTCGAAGCAAACCCTGTTACTACCCTTTTAGTTCGTAGGAAAACCCCTTTTCAGGTTAGCACCTTCAACTGTTGGACTCTCAACCCTGTATCACGTAAACAGGAGTTAGCTCACTCAGCCTTCATGCATCATAATGATGTTATCTCCTTGCAAGAGCATCGCCAACACCACAAAGAATCTCTAAGAATTGAAAACATCTTATCATATCAGCTCATCACTGCTTCTGCTACGAAGAATTCAGTTAATGCATCGGTTGGTGGTGTTGGGTTTCTTTTATCTCATAGAATCCAGAAATCTCTCCTATCTGTAGAGAAAGTTAATAGCAGAATCATCTTGCTCCATGTAAACGAAAATCCTCGCCTCACAGTCCTCTCATGTTATGCTCCTACAAACTGCAGTGATATTGAAGAAAAAACTGCATTCTACAACGCTCTAACCAGGATCATCTCTGAGGTACCTCCTTTCAACATGCTAGCAGTGTGCGGTGATTTCAACGCGAAGCTCAGTAATATCTACGGTTTCACATACCATCAGTCAACCAACGACAACGGTGAACGACTACTGGATCTGGTAGATCAACACCAGTTGATAGTTGCTAACCGCCGTTTCCAGAAACCGGCTAATAAAATTTGGACCTATGAAGACCTAAAAAGAACAAAGCATCAAATTGACTTTGTACTCTGGCGTAAGAAGTGGGCAAATAGTGTGAAGAACTGTCAAGCGTACAACATCATGCAAACTGTCGGTTCAGATCACCGGATTGTAACATGTTTTGTTCGAGCCAGCTACAGAGTCAACAAAACTCCAGCACGGGACCTCTTAGGAGCATTGACTGGACTCCACTGATCCACGATTCCAACTTGAAACACCAGTACGCAGTGGAAGTGAAAAACTGGTACAGTGCACTCCTAGAGGAAGCGGGAGCTCGAGTCCGACTACGACCTGCTTGTTAAAAGCGTTACAAGCACAGCACTTATGGTGTTGCCTAAAAAGAGTAAGAGGAAACGGGAAAATCCTAACAACGATCCTAATATTGCACACCATCGCAATATCCTAAAGGATGCGTCCCTGAGTCACAGGATTTCCCCCTCTTTTTCGTCCAAGGAAAAGCTTGAAGACGCAAAGAAGCAACTGGACGAAGCTTATAATGCTGCTACTTCACAGCACATCCAACAACAGACTGACCGGCTGGAGAAAACTAACCCTGAGCACAGGCATTGCAGTTCCTGGCACATCATCAGACAACTAACATCCTCCGACACCGTGCCATACTGCAAAGTGCCAGGAGGCACTACCGAAGAACGGCTCAACATCTGGTTCGAGCACTTCAAGTCCCTTCTAGGCACAGAACACCCTCCACCTGACCTCACCCTCCCCTTCTTCAACCAGCGAGTCTCTGACACCATGCCCATCAGCTGCTCATCCTTCAGCATGTCAGAACTCAGAACTCGACACGGTTCTGTAGTCCGCCAAGTCCTCCAAGTCACCCGGTCTAGATAGCATCCCTCCCTCAGTCTGGAAGCTTCCCCAGCTACGTGAAAACCTCCTCGGATTCTGTAACAAAGCACTCATGGATGGTGTGATCCCTCAAGCCTGGCAAACGGCCTCTATCATTCCTATCTTCAAAAAGGATGATCTTACTAATCCAGGAAACTACAGTGGCATTTCACTGGCACCGGTTGCAGCGAAAGTTTTTAACAAGCTCATCCTCAACCGGATCTACCCATTCATTGATCCCCTCTTGCGACCAAACCAAAATGGTTTCCGTACGGTATCTCTGCTCCACTAGTAGATGCTATCAGGCTACTTTATGACTCATCATTCTCTCGTGTCCAGACCATCGACGGCCTTACTGACTTTTTAGGACACTTATTGGAGTTCTTCAAGGGGACACTCTAGCACCCTTTCTCTTCATCATTGTCCTTGATTATGTCCTCAGAAGCTGCATGGCCGAAGAATTCGGTCTTACCATCGTACCTAGGAAAAGTCGAAGAGTGCCTGCGGTCAAAATCACAGACCTTGACTTTGCTGATGATTTGGCCTTACTTTTAGACACCATAGAGCAAGTCCAACTTCTGCTGACAGACCTTGAAAATGCGGCTGCACAAGTTGGTCTTGCTATGAATGCTTCTAAGACCGAGTTCATGACCATCAACATCCCTGACACTGTCGACCTACATTCTTTTCCGTTTTAGAGTTCTGATCGTGTTTATGAATTGCTGTATATAGAGAGAGAGAGAGAGAGAGAGAGATACAGAGAGAGAGAGAGAGAGAGAGATAGAGAGAGAGAGAGAGAGAGAGAGAGAGAGAGAGAGAGAGAGAGAGAGAGAGAGAGAGAGAGAGAGAGAGAGAGAGAGAGAGAGAGAGAGAGAGAGAGAGAGAGAGAGAGAGAGAGAGAGAGAGAGAGAGAGAGAGAGAGAGAGAGAGAGAGAGAGAGAGAGAGAGAAATACCTGTTGCAGCGTTGAAAACGAATGTGGAAATGAAAAAAGTAATTAAATTAGTTTATAACCTGTTGAGGAGGAGGGTAAGCAGGTTGTTCTTGAGGAGGATAATCACCCTGGGGAGGGGGTGGTCCCATTATCTCAGCGTATTGTGGTGGTGGTGGTGCATCCATTATTTCCTAGATTTGCAAATATACGGTCATTATATTAACTAGCAGGAACCCGTCTTACTCTAAAGTGGTGTCAAGACTCCTGCCTACCTGCCTAGGTCGATCCAGATGAAATCTGGAACGAGTTTCGTGACAGCGCTTCTCTCCATTTATCTCTATCACTCATGAGCCAACGTAACTTATCAGGATCCAATCCAGTATCTTCTTGTAGGACGTCCGGAAAGGTTTTATGTTGTCGTCCTCTATACCGATGACCATAGGAGGGTTGCCAGAAAAGGAGTTGCTGAGCAGGTTGGTCTTGTAGACGGTACACATGTCCTGCAAAACGAAGTCGTCGTGTCTTTATGGTATCTGTCACCGGTGGAATATTTCCGTATAGAACGGAGTTTGGTGTGTGAGATTTCCACGAGACACCAAAGACTCTTCGTAGCATTCTTGTATAGACCCCATCTAATGCTCTGCCTCTAGTGTCAGCTTTCTTCAGAGTCCACGTTTCTGCGCCATACAGAAGAACAGGTTCCACTGCGGTTCCAAAAATCTTGGTCTTGATCTTCCTAGACATGTCAGATTTCCAGAAAGCATCTAGACTCTGCAGGGCTTTCCAAGCAAGGCCTTTCCTAACATTGATGTCTCTGCTAGTTGAAGCTATATAAGATCCTAAGTATTTGAAGTCATCTACGTCTTCTAGAGGAGTACCGTTGACAAAGACCCTCTCATCTGAGTTTACAGGCCTGGCCTCGGAATGTTGTAGGACATGTATTTGGTCTTGTCGATGTTGATAAGTAAACCATACCGAGCTGCAATGTCAGAGATACTTTGGCAAAATTTAAAGGCCAAGGTGGCGTTAGTTTGTGGGCTATTTGTAATTCAATCTGATAACGTCAAACGTATTGTTCGCCGAAAAAGCAAAAATTGTGCACATGAACGAAGTACAAATTGTTAAACGGTCATACGCGTAACAATCTAAATTAGTCCTAACACTAAGTCTAACAAATAAAGTATAAGTGCGGATTATGAGCTGAACGTACCGTATTGAATTTGAATTATTGAAAGAAATGTGGCGCGATATTTTCTTCCGCAAAGTTATTTAATTAGCGCACGATACGATGTAGGTACAGGATAGAAAATTTATAATTAGCCTATATAATACGCGCGCGCGCAATGCATCAAATGTTAACATAATTGTGTGTAGCTTTAGCAAATTATAAATATAAATAAAAGTATTCATGACATGATGTTGACTAACAGTAAAGTAAGGTTTTATGTTGACAGGATATTTTTTAAGCTTAACGGGTTCACATAGCCATTACACATTAGCCATGTGTCTATACTACGCGTACTGTGGTCGCGCGCTACTGCAGACTTGATACTGCAAGCGAGAGGGCTTTTATTTGGTTAGAGCAACTTAACGGGTGATACTCGTAAAATATTTGTTTAAAATATTTATATTACTTGGGGACATCAGGTTTTCTTTGGGAAAGGGAGACACTGGCAACGGTTAGGCTACTTGGATGCTGGCCCCAATTCCTCCCAGCAATCCTTACCGGCTGGGCGTATTACTACAGGTGATAACGTCTTTACATGCAGGCGCAGCGTGTTCAAGCTCGCGCGCGCTTGTAGTACCTACCTATAGTTATACTAGTAAGTTGTAGTAAGTTTATTGCACGCTTCAATTATTGCCAGAATGCGATTGAATCACGTGACACAATTCAGCCAATCAGAGTACAGGAATCCGCAAAGATAAAGCTAAGTTGTAAACTTTTGATCGGCCCAAAATGAGACTTTTCTGTGTTTCTGGAGATTTTGAGATAACTCATAATCTACGTTGTCTTAAATATTCCCCCTGGGGGGGGGGGGGGGGGGGGGGGGGGGGGGCGGGGGCGGGGGAACGTTATTTTAACAAGGCGAACATTTCTTTTACTTTAGAAGTTAGGCCCGGCCAGCCGGTTTCCTGGGACCGCTGCCAGTGTATATCTTTCCTAAACAAAAGGAAATGTGGATTGTGGATTGTGTATCGTGGATCGTGATTTGTGAATCGTGAATTGTTTATCGTGGATTGTAGATTATAGATCGTTGATTGTGGATTGTGGATTGTGGATTGTGGATTGTGGATTGTGGATCTTGGATTCATGTGGATCGAGGATAGTGGATCGTGGATTGTCGATCGTGAATTTTCTATTGTGGATCGTGGATTGTATACGATGATATTTTGAAATTGTTCTAAAGTCAGATAATCAGTATTTAGTGACAGAAATGATTGAATGAACGTGAATGAACACATGGCAAATGAACTAAAAAGGTTCTTAGTATTATTTTCGAATCAATAAATCAGCTGAAGACGATAAACAAATGTTATTTGAAAGCTTCTTAAAGTTAAACAACAATCTGTATTATATCTTGAAATGTTTACAAAATCCCAATCCAGTATTAAATCATGCCTTTCGAAAAGATATCATAATTTTTCAATTCCCAAACTTACTGTGTTCAAACTTACTTTTCTACTTATATTTTAGATTTAATATTAAATACCAGCACATGAACATAAGATTCGTCAATTCCGATCTAAAGCTCATAATATGTGGAAAGTCATGGTTATTGGGGTAGAACTAGAAAGTTCGGTCACCTACGATGACTTTGCACTTGAAGTGCTGAGGAGTGCTGAGGAGTAATAACAAGATTTGCAGCTTCAGACTACTGCATTCCAACACGTACATTTTCTTGCAGCAATTATTACGAGGACTCCTGTGGTTAGGAAAGAAACGACGGCAACACTCAACGCAACCGACAGAACAATTGTAAAACCTGAAAGTTTGTTTTTATTTTGCACCACATTTTTTGTTCCAAAATTTCATCTCACGTAATTTTACCCCCAATATTAACCCCGGATTACTTCCTTATCCTCACCAAGCAATCACCTAAATCCCAGCCAAAAAATATGATTACAGTTACATCAACACGTGGTAAACAAGAATTTCGCCGCGGTAAAACCACGCACGATCAAATTTCCCCTTCTGCCTACAATGTAATTGTTCTACTTTATTGTATCCCAGAGTGGTGTTTGGCGCACATGTAACATGATAATCGTTTTCGATATATTTGGCGTGCCACGTGCAGAACTTGAAAATTCTGCGCGCATTTTTGTAGTGTCGCGTTGATCTGTGTACGTGTGGTTTGGTTGTAGATCATTTCATATTTTGCGCGGTTTGTTTCGTGTTAACGATGTGTATTATGTCACGTCATATTATTGCATCGTCGTATGCCAACTTTTTTGACTGGAATAGAATATTCTGTCTCATCTTAGTTATTAGAAGTATCTAACATAAACTAATACATTTTGATGCTTACTCGACACATCTACAGCACCATCGACTATATAGGAATTTTTAAAAGCATACCGCAATCTTGATCTTAGTTGCTTCTTGAATGTAAATGTAAAGTAACATCTGTTCTTAAATATGTAAATGTAATCGCTTTTTACCATTCAGTGTCAATCAACTGTTAAATAATCGGCCACGAGTTTATCAGCTGATGTAATAATTTAGTTTGTTCTGAATTTTATCACTCGGTAATTTATTAAAAAACTAGCGGCAATAGCGGATGAATAGTGGAACCTAGCGGATGCCTAGCGGAGAGCTAGCGGAAATTTAACAGTCGTCAAGCACCTAAAACTGGTTGCTATGCCTGCAATTAATTAACACATAACTGGCGTCGCGCGCGCAAAATAGGTTCCTTTTATACACATAATTATATGGGAGTGGTCGATATTGCGAAGGAGCAGACTTTTGTCATCATCGTAGGACCGTCGAGCCACCTCATATATCCAAACCCGATTACTTATTCCCTACGATCTTTTTGCCTTCGGCAAGAGCAGGGAAAAAAAATTACGTGGTTAATGTCCGGTCTACAAAGTGGAAGGAAAGATTATCGGATTCGGCTAGGACATGTTTGACAAGAAAAGATTAGGAAGTTTTGCTAATTCGAACAAATACCACATTGACTATTGAGATGATCGGGAGCAGTGCCAGGAGGACAAACAAAACAGGATTCAGCACCCCCTGCACTGATGCTGTTTTCATCGCACTTTGTACATCTTGTCATGTGGGACTTTTTGTAGGTTCCTGTTTCGCACCTCACTGCAATACAAAGGTATGTTTAGTAACTCTTTGCTGCAATACAAAGGTATGTTTAGTTACTTTGAGTTTGACTATAATATAATGATTATTATTGAAAATTAGCGACTATAGTGATTAGTGAATATAACTATCACTGTTTTGTGTTTGACTGTTTAACTATTAAAAGCTTGACAATTCGAGATACCAAAATAAAAAGTTATCAAGCTAAACTTACCACATCCATCAAGATATTTATTGAGATTCTGAGTATGGCCTGGAGGACATTCACAATTTGTTAATTCTTTTTCGCTGTTCGTATCTTTTGCACAAGGCGCTGTAAATGTTTCATACTTAAATTTGAACACTAGCTTGTATTTAGTTTAAAGTAAAACTATAACCAAAAATTTCCAAGCTGGACAATCAAATTAAGCGTTTATTTCGTTCAATTTTGGTCATCTCACACAAAAAAACTGAACTCACAAAGTTTGCATGTAATCTTGCCAACTGAATTGGGCTGATCATCTTTGCATTTTGTACATTGCATTGTACTAGACTTTCGATATTTTCCAGCTTCGCATCCTGTGAGGAACTATATACCACTTCCTATCATAAAATCAGAAACTCCTGTGTTTTTTAAACTGGTGGCATTACAGGATTTTCTATAAAAATTAAGACTTTGCTGTCGCGTCGTACAGTTCATAAACTGACAAACTTACCTATGAAGTAGGATTCCGATCTAGTGTTCAAGCGATTAGAATGTAAGAATTTTATACTGCTCGCTTGTCGTTCCCAGTATTTATTCCAGTTTGAGCTAACGTCTGTACCATTGTAGTCAACATGGTCACACATTTTGGGGGATGCTTCGAATTTACCCACATGCTTTCTGTTACAATAAATTATGATTTTAAGACCACTTTTCTTAATTATCCATTCTTTATCTTGTTCTGCTGGTAGACTAGTCGAGAAGTTAATGTAATTCTGCTGACAGTTCAGCAGTTTATACTTTACTGTGGACGAAAACAAGATACTAATACCGCCTGCCAGGTTTCTTTCTTCATCTAAGTACCATATTGATGTATTGTCACCACTTTTCACAGCACTTCCAGTTTTCAAATATAAGTAATCAGCCTCAAGATCAGCTGAGATTGGCTCATCAAATCGCACAGAGCTCCACTTATCTGAAATGTAAGTTCCGTCAGAATACCTGCGACAAGCTATTATTTCAATGTGGTATACAGACCAGAAATTCAAATATAACATCTCCTGTGTATGGCACATGTAAAATCTCGTCGGTAGCTCCTTTTCATGGCAAAGTCCCTACGTTTAAAGAGTTCCTCTACATTTCTTGGTATTAGATCTCTAGAATTAAGGTTCAAATACTTAATGAAATATTAAAACATGCTAGTTTAAATGCTTTCTCTGCGGGCTATATTCCAGTATTAGTGGGGTGGGACTTGAGGGCCTGATAATAAGAATATTTATCCTTTAATATTAAATGTTTCTGTCTAAGTCTTTATCATAAGTCAAATAATAAGGCCTGACCTTTTTTCTAGGTCATTAGAAAAATTTAAAGTGGGTCGCAAACAAATGTAGTTTCACTTTCACCACTGCCTTCATCACTGGTCCAAGAATAGGTGAACAGCTACAGCGGCTGGAAGAAACCACCCTCTCATCTGCTAAACTTGGCGAAGAACGGTATCTTGAATAACGAATAACGATAAGACGATAGTACCGTGAAACGAAAGTGTTGATTTATTGATTCAGGGCAAATTCCAATAAAATATTAGAAATAGAAGACAAACAAATTATCGAAGTATTTTTACTACGAAAAAAACTTTGTTTATTCGAAATAGTTAGTGCCAAAATGATATTCAGAGCTTTTTTATATACGAACCTTTTTTTGAGGCTGTGTTGAGTATCAAAACTGTAAGTTCGAGTATCGAGAGGAATTTCATTCGTGGTCCTTACTCATCAACTTATTTCTGGGTTTAGCCTTAGCATTAGGTGATGTGTTAATTTTCAATATAACCCAAATACTCTCACGAAATGATAACCGGTTAATAACCGGGTTATAAACTAGTACTACTTCCCCTACTCATAAGTACTAGCTCGCTTACTATTTGTGTCAGCCGGACTACACGCTCCCACAACAACCCTAGCGCACCGACCTTTTGTTTAACCTATTTTGGTGCCTGTGGTTGTATGTTGTAGAATTAAGTTTAACTTGTTCATTTTTATGGGCTGATAAGGTTATGAGTAAGAAGTAAATAGACAAAATATGATAAATACAATTCTGTGTCTGGTCTAATAAATGTATCGTATAACTATAAGCTTATAACCTCAACAGTCAACAGTCAACAGTCAACATGAGAATTTGGTAGAATTATACCACTCTTAAATCTCACATGGCCAAATAACAAACACAAACTTGGAGAAAATAACCAACGAATAACTCATGACAATCGAACGAGTGACACATGCGGGATAATGACATGAAAACAATAGTACAGGCAACAGGCATGGCTCAGGGCGAAACCTTTGTTATATAATGGCATAAAACAATGACGTGCGATATATTAACTTAAAGAATTTCTAAACTCCAAGGCTTTTACTAATTCACTCGCCAGTGCTCTGTCACGTGACTTGGCTTTTTAGTTTTACCGTTTTGTAACCGAAAGAATTAACGGTCACACCGAAACCCTGGCATGGCTCCAACCCTAACCCTAATCATGATCCCAAAGCTAACCATAGCCCTTGATTGACAATGGTCGATGTCAACCCTTCCAGATCTTTCATGCGAAGCAATAATGATACATGATAGTTCGCGCCGCGCGTCGAAGTCCTCCAACCATAGCTTTAGCTTAGCCCTAACACTAATCCGAGCTCTAAGTCTAAACAACCGAATTCGTGTTTTACTACTACTTAACTACTAGCCTGTCGTCGGTAATCATCGAAAACGAAAGGTCGAGAGAAGGCATGCATCCTCAATTAAATATACAATCACAATGCTGGCAAGCATTACCGTTACCGTTATATTCACAATACTATTTACCCCCTATACTATTATATCCCCTTTTTTGTTTTCCAGGCATTAAGACTCATCGAAAGTAGTTCAGCAGGTATATTTAAGTAAAAACATTTTAATTCAATGTTAAACTTAAAGATGACAGGAATAAGAAATAGTTATGTGGAGGTTTTTAACAATTTTGCGCAAAATACGCGCCAGCATGTTAAACGACTTACTTACTACTTACTTACTTAAGTCGGCTTCTTGGTCCGAGCAACTACAATTCCTCGCCACACGTCGCGGTCAAGCATAACAGATCTTATCTCTTCAACACAGGAAAGGCTGGTGTCCTTCTTTAGCATGTCCAGAAACGTAAGGTGGGGCCTCCCCGGTCTCCTGTATCCATGCTGAGGTTCCCAGAACAGAAGTTGGTTTGCCAGAAGGTCGTCATGCCTGGCTACATGTCCAGCCAGTCTCATTCTTCTGGAGGCTATCATCGCTGATGGCTTGGGGATGTTGCCGTATAAATCACTGTTGTTGATGATTTGTGGCCAACGTATGTTCAAGGCCATCCGGAGCATTCTAGTGTAGCATCCATTGATCCGCTTAGTCATGGATTGGCTTATCGTCCAAGCTTCAGAGCCGTACAGGAGTACGGGCTCAACCGTTGCTCGAAAGACACGGATCTTTAAGTCCCTGCGCATTCCAGACTTCCAGGTTGTCTTTAACTGATGACAGGCCCCCCATGCCTTTGCTTTCCTAACATCAAAGTCCTTCTCCGCACTCATTATTCTGCTTCCAAGGTAGACAAAGTCATCTACTTGCTCTATCTCCTGCCCACTTGCTGCTTTAATGACGGTAGAGTCAGACTCAGAGAGAAATTAGGTTACAAAACGAAATTAGGTTAAAAAACCCAAAATCGCCATATTCTTAACGAGGGGTCACCTTATCACGTGATGAATAAACTCGGCCATCTGAGAAGCTATAACTCTATTTTTTCAGGACAAACGTAATTCGAATGGCCAAACAAAATTCAATAAAATTTGGCTCGATCCGTCTATCCAAACTATCAAATAAATGTGAAAAAAAACCTTCACTTTTAAAAAATTAACTCGAATATTTTTCGATTTGACAAATTCCCCGAACCAGTGGAGGGTAGTAAGTCATACCAGAAAGAATTGGTTCAATTGGGCACTCAGTGACTGAGCTATCAAGGCCAACGTATACCCGATGACTTTTGGCCCGCCCCGTATTAAAAAGTAAAATTTCCTATTCAATCAATCATAGAAATATAAAATCAATACTCGAGTTAATTCGTTCTCTAGAAAGAAAAATAATTTAAAATATTGAAGTGGAGTCAGAAAAAAATTAGAAAATTACGGATCAGATGTAGAGGGATCAAAAGTAGAGAGATTGGAAGGAGAGGGATAAGAAGGAGAGGGATCAGAAGGAGAGGGATCAGAAGGAGAGGGATCAGAAGGAGAGGGATCGAATGGAAAAGGATCGGAAGGAGAGGGATCAGAAGGAGAGGAATCGGAAGGAGAGGAATCAGAAGGAGAGGGATCGGAAGGAAAGGAATCAGAAGGAGAGGGATCAGATGGAGAGGGGTCAGAAAGAGAGGGATCAGGCGGAGAGGGATCAGAAGGAGAGGGATCAGAAGGAGAGAGATTATATGGAGAGGGATCAGAAAGAGAGGGAACAGAGGGAGAGAGATCAGAAGGAGAGGAGTCAGAAAGAGAGGGATCAGAAGGAGAGGGATCGGAAGGAGAGGGATCAGAAGGAGAGGGGTCAGAAAGAGATAGATCAGAAGGACAGGGATCGGAAGGAGAAAGATCGGATGGAGAAAGATTGAAAGGAGAGGGATCGGTAGGATAAAGATCAGAAGGAGAGAGATCAGAAGGAGAGAGATCAGAAAGAGAGGGATCGGAATAAGAAGGATCTGAGGGAGAAGGATCAGAAGGAGAGGGATCAGATGGAGAGACATCAGAAGGAGAGGGATCAGAAGGCGAGGGATCGGAAGGAGAGGGATCGGAGGGAGAAGGATCAGAAGGAGAGGGATCGGAAGGAGAGACATCAGAAGGAGAGAGATCAGAAGGAGAGGGATCGGAAGGAGAGAGATCAGATGTAGTGGGCTCGGAAAGAGACAGATCGGAAGAAGAGGGATCGGAAGAAGAGGGATCAGAGGAGGTAAACCAATCAATGGTTATGGTAGAAAGTTTCGCAACTTTATAAAATATTTTAGCTGGGTAAAATTTAACCATATATTTTTTCAATCGGGCGCTGTATATGAAAGGATTGATAACTGAGTTTATTGGAAGTATGACAATAGAAAAGAGGCTGTACTGCGCTGAAGCGTCAATAACACCGAAGTAGTGAAGACCACTCACAATCACGAATGGTATCCAGCAAACAAAGTTTGTACCGATGATAGCAGCTATCTTTCGTTGTAGTTTTTGGTTCCTCCTTCGGACCATTTTGGACGTTGGGGTCTTTCCCTTTGTCAGAATGCCGGAATCTTTAATTGTTTTGGCGTTTATAAAGATATACGAAATAGCAACTATGGCAAAACAAAGAATGTTAATTGATAAAATTGTCAAACTGAACTGTCTCTGAGGATCATTCTGGCGAACAAAATATTTGAAGAGACACACTCCATCGTTACCATAAAAGTCAACCCTTCCTACTTTTCCATCCAAATTGCCATAATCATTTGAAAACATAGTCCTCATAAGACTCAAGATAAGTGACCACTTCAATGGCTGCCTCTTTGCCCTGCCAAAGTACCGCTGGATCACATCAAAATGCCTATCCTTTCCAGCTTGTTCGATAAATAGCTTCATGTCAGTATCGTAGGTCAATCCATTTACAAATAAGTCTTCGAAATATGGAAGCAAGGGTGCAAGAGCAATTAATGAGGTCACAATAATCACAGGAAATATCATCACCACAAACTGAACGAGAATTTTTGTAAAGCTCAATCTCAATCCAGAATTTGATCCCACCATACTGTTTTGAATACCAAAAACTCGACAGATACTGAGAATAGCTAACGAAACGACAGAGATCTGACTTCCAATCGTGCTGATTACCCCCAAAGCTGAACAATATTTACTACTCAGCCATTTCAACTGCCTTTTGCAGAAGTTTGCACCATATGTATAGTCAACAATTGCTAATGAAAATAGATACTGTCCGGTTAGGAAGTCTCCGATACTAATAACCATAATCATTATCTTGTTTGCCAGCATTGTGCGAGATTTGCATTTCTTCAAATCCGCCCCATTTTCAACCATAACAACGATATTAAAAATTGTCGCAAGGAAACCAATTCCAAAAGCGGCAATTTTTTGAGCTAATCCATTTATCACCTGCTTACCACACTCTTCATTACACTCATCCGACCAATCTTCACAATTTGCGGTGCCGTCACATTTTTGGGTGATTGGAATAAACGCACCACCACATTCGAAATGGTTTCCACAGTTCAGTTCATCTGAACTATCCCCGCAATTGTCAACCAGGTCACAGACTTTAGAATACTCCACACACAGATTGTTGGTGCAAGGGAAGTAATCATTGGTGTATTTTCCTGATTTTTTACTGACGAAAGTGAGGTGATTGTTATTGACCAATGTGTAGACTCTGTCCTTAAACTGGTCTTTGCAATCATTGTACTTAATTGAACTTGTGATAGGGCATTTTGTTGAATGCAGACACTTCCCAAGACAGCTCAAATAGATGTAAACTTCTCCATACAGATGGTTACAATTATACAGCATATTTGGATATATTACTTGCATCCTGCTGTAGACTCCATAGATAGTTTCATTAAAAACATTAAACTCATCAGATATGCAAGAACTCTGCTGGTGCTCAACGTCATGCAGGCCTTTGACGCAATAAGAAATAATTTTAAAAGTCTCAGCCGTATTAACCGTTGTAGAGACTCTTGTTTTGCCTCTACTCATTTCACATATGTTATTTTCATTTCCGCA